AGTTTTTATGGTTCTGCTGTAGTTCACCTAAGCAAGTTAATATCTGACTTTCTCATGTAGCATTAATCTACAGCATGAGGTATGATTTGATAGGTTACACATAGGTTCTTTTTTTTTTTAAAAAAATATGGAACGCTTCATGAATTTGCATGTCATCCTTGCGCAGGGGCCATGCTAATCTTCTCTATATTGTTCCAATTTTAGTATATGTGCTGCCAAAGCGAGCACTACACATAGGTTCTTTTATATGTAATTCCTAACTAGTGCTTGTCCTTTTCCAGAAATGAGTAAATAACAATAGCAACATGTGATTGCCAAAGGATACTAATGTATTCTATGTGCTGGGTACTGTTCTTAGAACTCTATATGTGTAACTTCATTTACACCTCACATGGAGATAAGAAATTAATCCCGAATCATTACCTAAGCTATAGAACTGGTATTGGAACTAACAATTTAGCTTCTTAGCTCTTGTTCTGTTATACAGACCCTTCCGTCCATTCGAATGTCATCTGTCTAGTATCTGCATAGGACACAGTTTGTAAAATGCACTAATACATATAGTTAATTTTATTTCATTTTTAGAAAATCTCATGAAACAGTGTTTTACAGATGAGTAAACTGAGGTTTGGAGAGGTTGACTCAAGTGTGGTACCACATTTGGGAAATGGTGGAGTCTAAACTCAAATCCTGTTCTTCCCAAATTCTGTTCATTTTTTCCAAGCTCTATTTTCAGTGAGTATGCTTTCTATGTTGAAATTATTAAAATATTTTTTCTTTTTGTTTCAAGTAAATATGGTTTATATATATGTGAAATATTTATTTATACCTCTTTTAGCTTAGCCCCTTCTTACTCATCTTTCTGGTATTCTGATGTGTCATCCTCAGGGGGGTTTTCTTACTCTTTCATGCCCTGCTTAGGTCAATTTCCCACTTATTATTTGAAACCCTCAGAGGATAAGGTGATTATTTTTACACTGAACATTCATAGGCCTTTATTTGTGATTGTATTTTGAAAAGACTCAGAGAACAGAATTAAATTTTTATTGAGCCTGATAAAAGAAGATTCATAGTTTACAAATTAAGTGGAAAGTGAAAAATGGATAAAGCATAAGAGTTACTAGCACCATCTGACAAGGCTGAATAAACAAACAGCAGTGGGGTGGAAAATATACTTCATTTGTTAGGTAAGATTCACTCTCACCTTATGAGTTATAATCCATTTACTCTTTTTATGTAATTCCTGTAAGATTCTCAAACCATCTGTCTATTTGCAAAGATATACAAGTTCAGATACAGCTTAACTTTTCACAGGTTGTCAGAGGGTTAAAGTTAAAATTTCTTATATCCAAATTCAAGTGTTTATGGTTTTGGGTTGTAGTATGTTTTATATAAGGTTTTGTGTCGGAGCCTCTTTCACTTGCTGAAGCTGTGGAAATGGGCATAGCCCTCATGGAAGGTCTTCATATGTTTCTCCTGCCAGGTGGGAGAATCAAGGCTTTGCACTCCTCTGGTTTCTGTGTGAGTGGCTTGACGGATTTGACACCAGTGTGACAGTAAAGAGACATGTGAGCAAAGCAGTGTGCTGCTGCAGGGCCCAGCTGTGTGGATTACCTGTAGAGCCAGTTAGCCACATCTGACAATCACTGAACACCTTCTGCCTTCACTCTGGAGTGTATTTTAATGTGTGTGTTTGCTGACTGGTTGGCATTTCACACAAATTATCTAAGCTATTTCTTTTCCCTCTTTGCTGTTGAGTGTGCAAGTCTGTGATAATATGTCCTCCCAGATACTTTATTGTGCATCACAAAAGTACACACTTTCTAAAACAAGGTAAAAAATCATCTTGTTTTCATTTTTATACTGAATTCCATGTTAAGACTTAATAGGTAATGTTTGAGTTGATAACAGGTAATAAGTTATTAATAGGTAATAGGTAATATGAATAGATAATATGTTTACACAGTTCAAAAATCAAAACAATATAAAATGGAGTATTTTGAATAGTGTTATTCCATTCTGTCCCTTTCCAGTCATTTCCTACCTCTGCCCCTGAGAGATAACCACCTTTGAAGTTTGTCTCATATCCTTTATGCTCCTGTATGCAAATACAAGAGCTGTTTTGTCCCTTGCCTTTTTTATTCCAGTATATCCTGGAGAGCTCTTTGTTTCACTGACAGTGTGCTTCCTCCTTCTTGTTTACTGTTGCATTATATTTCATTGTGTGGATTTACCATAGTTTATTTAACTGAGGGACATTTGGATTGTTTTGAATTTTTTGTATAGATGAGATATAATTCAGATACCATAAAATTCACCTTTTAAAAGTATAAAATTGTGTGGTTTTTGGTATGTTTCTAAGCTTTTGTTCTACAGATGGTAATCCATTGAGTAAACTTGTACAAGTGTATCTGTAGAAAAACTCCGTAGCGATAGGATTTCTGGGTCAAAGGGGAAATGCATATGAGTTTGATAAGAATTGTTCATTGCCCACCATTGAAACTGTACTATTTTGCATTCTTGAGTATGAGAGGGCTTATTGTGCCCTTAGAGACTTGATAATTTTTTAAAGCAATGTTAATTTTTAAGAAATGTATGATGTGCATGAGCTACCAGTTTAATCTAATATTGATTCCCGATTTATCGCACCAAGGCAAATATGACCAAAAGTTCTTTTTAAGTTGACAGATATTATTATTTATAATTTGTCTCGGTTAATTGGTAAAATTGTAGGTTGTGAATGTTGATGTACATAGCAGGTTTCATCTGTATGGTCTTACTTTGAGTGATTACCTGACCTCTGTTTTCTCCCGTCATATAGATATAATGATACCCACAGTATTAAAATGAAATTTCCCTGTGGAGGAAGGCCATTTATACTCTGTCTGCTCTATAATAACATTAGTGTGGAATTTTATCTTTCAAGGCAGCCTTTCAAGTTCTAATGTTTTGTACCTGTCTGATACACTGGACCTCAACTGAACTGAGAAGTTGTTGTTTTTATAATAATTTAACTGGAGATTAATTATAAACAGGATTTTAGCCACTGTTGGTGCTTGTTGATCTGTGGGACAGGTCAGTTGCTGTTTAATCTGATTAAAGTGAAGTGTGTAATTCTTTATGGGAATCTTTGCATTCGTGCTCTTTCTTATACATAGATTAGCTTTATAGATCTTGAGGTCGTGTAAGGTGGAGCCATTTCAAGCTTTGAGATACTATGTGCATTTGAATTATTCAAGGCTTTTAATGATAGATTAAACACTTTTTTGGCATTTAAATATTCTGTCTATAAAAGAATCAATGAAAGATTCATTGGAAAATGCAGACTTTCCTGAGCTTCAAGTGAAAAGTGAGATACAGATTTTGATTAAATTCATGATGGAGTGCATAAATATACAAGTATATGCATGGAAATACCATTAGTTTTCTATGTCCCAAATAATGGCTAATGTTGCAAACAGATAAACCACTTACCCAATGATTTATCTAAAGTAATGGTTTGTGTTAGTATTATAGGTCCTTCGTAAAGGAAAACTGTTCATAGCTTAACTGATAAGCCAGTCTTATCATTAAAGATGAGAAAAAACCTGCATTCAAAATAGAAAGCTTTAATTGAACAGACTAGAATTTTACAGAAGAGAAAGATTTATTGTTTTGTGTCTCTCAGATCAACTGGTTGCTATATTTCTATTCCCTCTCTCTTTATTCATATTGCTTAATTATCACAGAGAATTCGAGTTCTGCCCAAAAGGGTGTTTGCTCTGTGATGGGTTTGTGAGAGAATCCTGCTGTCTTGGGATAGGCAGGATAATACTGAGGCCTACCATGTTCAGTTGAGCAGATTGTTCACTGAGTAAATATCCCTTTGGGGCAGATGTGGGCTAAAATCCTGTTTGTATTCACCAAGCCATGCCCTGTGGAATAGGGTTGCATGAACCCAGGGAAAGGTGCATATTTTTCTGACTCTTACAAAGGTGCCTTAGTGCAGTTTTATTTGAAAATCAGTTGTTTCTGCCTTTTCTGTTTTCTTTTCTTTCAGAAATTGTCTGTAGTACATAGGTAATTTCTATGTGTCTGTGTGTTTATGTACACACATAGTTACTTTACTATTTGGGAGGACATGGTGTCCTGAAATTGCCTCAGACTGTGGTAGCTGTGGATGCTTAAAAAAGATTTCTCCATAAAATTGGGAAAGAAAAAAAAAGCAAAGATGCATAACAGATTTAGTAATTATTCTAGAGATGAAAGATCACTTTTAAAAGGTAATGTGCATATAATTTTCAATCACAATATAGGTAGGTCACAGGGAAGGCAGTACAGCATGGAGAAGACAAGTAATGACTCTATAGCATCTTACTATGCTGATAGACAGTGACCCCAATGGGGGTGTGAGGACTTGATAATATGGGTGAATGTTGAAACCACAATGTTGTTTGTGTGAAACTTTCATAAGATTGTATATCAATGATACTTAAAAAAAAAAGTGTAAGTGGATATGATCTCAAATAAATGTGTTTACAGGATGAATAAATACTCCAAGTGTTCTTTCACTATGCAGATGGATACTTGTGGCTTGGTTTGGTATTTCCAGTGATAGTGTCATAGAAAGACTGAAAAACTGCTGTGTCTCAAGCAGCTTATACAGAGAGTAAGATTTGCTCTGGAAAGCTGAATTGGATGTCTTAGAAGGTGACCATAGTGATGAAAAAGATGCTGATGTGAGATGCATGTCAAGAGTGAATCAGATTGTTTCATGAGATGTGAGAGTAAATAAAATCATTATTTCTAAATTAATACTATATAGTATGTGTAATTTAAATAGTATAATTAAATCAATAAATATACTTTATAATTTGGCACTTGATGAATTTCTTTCTCTAAAAGCTTATACATTTAAGTTAGGTTATTTTCAAATTCTCTTATTGGAAAAGTAATGGCTTGTCTTATATTTTGGGTCACTTTATATTCAGTCACCTCTAATCAGTCTTATTTTTAAACAGAAACTGAGGCTTCTTGAGGAGCTTGAAGATACTTGGCTGCCTTATCTGACCCCCAAAGATGATGAATTCTATCAACAGGTAAGGACTTCTAATATTTCTATCAATTTGTAGTGATTTGTTGTGATCTCTCTGATTTTATTTTTGAAGCAACTCTGGTCTAGAGAGCTTAAATGAGAGGTGAGATCATCTGATTTGATCATCCAGTGACTCCTCGTCACTGAGCGAATATACAGATTCCTCCACAGTCTGCTTTCTGCTGTGAGCTTACTACTTTAGAATAGTAGGCTGTTTTCTTCCCAAACATTCCATGCTCTTATCTGTTTCCTTGTCTCTACTTGTTTCTGATTCTTCTCTGCAGAATATCCATTTGCCCTTTACTCTATTGCCATATGGTTAATTCTCAGACTTCACTTAAAACATCACCTTCTTTGTGAAAGTGTCCTTGACTTACCTTACCTACAAGTAGAGTTGACAGTACTCTCCTCTGCGCTCCTCGTGGTTTATAAATACCCCTGTCCTACCTGTCACATTGGCTGCAGTTACAGAATTCTGTGGCCCTTGCCCTGATTTAGTCAGTACTCTATTTATTGCAAGTAACAAAAACCAAACAAACTCACTGTGGCAAAAAAGGGAATTTATTGATTTAACTGAGATGTCTAGGAGTACATGATTAAATCCAGCTCAGAAGATGTCATCGTTTTTGTTTCTTGCCATGGCTTTTCTCTTTCTCTGTGAATTTATGCTGGATAGGCTCTTACCTGAGAGCATAAGAGGACTGTGACAGCCCAAGGGGTATGTGATCTTAAGCACATGGAATCCTAGAAGAGGTGATTTCTGTTTCCCCTCGTTCCATCTGATTCCCCCAGAAGTGATCTTGTTGGCCTGGTTAGAGTCACGTGTGTTCAGGGGAGTGAGATACTCCTGTTTGCCTAGCTTATTTCATGCACCCACTGTTTGAATAGGGCTAGAATATGACCATCCAGTTCAGGTTGCATGGCCTACTCTGGGTCAGAGATGGATAGTTTTTCCCAACAGAAAATTGGGGGTCCTATTCCCAAAGAAGGAGGTGAAGGCATGCTGGGCAAACCATTTTCACCTATCCTTTTTTGTTTTTTAAATTTATGTATCAATATACACTCTTACAAAGGTTTCACATGAAAAACATTGTGGTTACTATAGTCACCCAGATTATCAAGTCCCCCCACACCGCACTGCAGTCACTGTCCATTAGCATAGTAAGATGCCACAGAGTCTCTACTTGTCTTCTCTGTGCTACACTGTCTTCCCCATGACCACCCCCACATCACGTGTGCCAATCATAATGCCCCTTAATTCCCTTCTCCCTCCCTCCCCTCCCATCCTCCCCCACTCCTCCCCTTTGGTAACTGCTAGTTCCTTCATGGAGTCTGTGAATCTGCTGCTGTGCTGTTTCTTCAGTTTTGCTTCATTGTATACTCTACAAATGAGTGAGATCATTTGGTACTTGTCTTTCTCCACCTGGTTTATTTCACTGAGCATAATACCCTCTAGCTCCATCCTTGTTCTTGCAAATGGTAGGATTTGTTTTCTTTTCATGGCTGAATAGTATTCCATTGTGTACATGTACCTCATCTTCTTTATCCATTCATCTATGGATGGACACTTGGGTTGCTTCTATATCTTGGCTATTGTAAATAGTGCTGTGATGAACACAGGGGTGCATATGTCTTTTTGAATCTGGGATCTTGTTTTATTTGGGTAAATTCCTAGGAGTGGAATTGCTGGGTCAAATGGTAGTTCTATTTTGAGTTTTTGAGGAACCTCCATACTGCTTTCCACAATGGTTGAACTAATTTACATTCCCACCAGCAGTGTAGGAGGATTCCCCTTTCTCCATATCCTCGCCAGCATTTGTTGTTGTTTGTCTTTTGGATGGTGGCCATCCTAACTGTGTGAGGTGATATCTCATTGTGGTTTTAATTTGCATTTCTCTGATAACTAGCAATGTGGAGCATCTTTTCATGTGTCTGTTGGCCATCTGAATTTCTTCTTTGGAGAAGTGTCTGTTCATATCCTCTACCCATTTTTTGACCATGTTATTTGCTTTTTGGGTGTTGAGGTGTGTGTGAGTTCTTTATATATTTTGGATGTTAACCCCTTGTCGGATATGTCATTTACAAATATATTCTCCAATACTGTATGATGCCTTTCTGTTCTATTGATGGTGTCCTTTGCTGTACAGAAGCTTTTTAGTTTGATAGTCCCATTTGTTCATTTTTGATTTTGTTTCCCTTGCCCAAGGGGATGCGTTTCAGGGAAAAGTTGCTCATGTTTATATTCAGGAGATTTTTGCCTGTGTTTTCTTCTAAGAGTTTTATGGTTTCATGACTTACATTCAGGTCTTTGATCCATTTTGACTTTACTTTTGTATAAGGAGTTAGACAATAATCCAGTTTCATTCTCTTGCATGTAGCTGTCCAGTTTTGCCAACACCAGTTGTTGAAGAGATTGTCATTTCCCCATTGTATATTTATGGCTCCTTTATTGTATATTAATTGACTGTATATGCTTGAATTTGTATCTGGGCTCTCTATTCTGTTCCATTGATCTATGGGTCTGTTCTTGAGCCAGTAGCAAATTGTCTTGATTACTTGATTACGGTGGCTTTGTAGTAGAACTTGAAATTGGGGAGCATAAACCCCCCAGCTTTATTCTTCCTTCTCAGGATTGCTTTGGCTCTTCGGGGTCTTTTGTAGTTCCATATGAATTTTAGAACTATTTGTTCTAGTTTGTTGAAGAATGCCCTTGGTATTTTGATAGGGATTGCATTAAATCTGTAGATTGCTTTAGGCAGGATGGCCATTTTGACAATATTAATTCTTCCTATCCATAAGCACAGGATGTGTTTCCATTTATTTGTATCTTCTTTAATTTCTCTCATGGGTGTCTTGTAGTTTTTGGAATATAGATCTTTCATTTCCTTGGTTAGGTTTATTCCTAGGTATTTTATTCTTTTTGATGCAATTGTGAATGGAATTGTTTTCCTGATTACTCTTTCTGCTAGTTCATCGTTAATGTATAGGAAAGCAACAGATTTCTGTTTATTAATTTTGTATCCTGCTACTTTGTTGAATTCAGATATTAGTTCTAGTAGTTTTGGAATGGAGTCTTTAGGGTTTTTTTATATACAATATCATGTCATCTGTAAATAGTGAAAATATGACTTCTTCCTTACCAATCTTGATGCCCTTTATTTCTTTGTTTTGTCTGATTGCTGTGGCTAGGACCCACAGTACTATGTTGAATAACAGTGGGGAGAGTGGGCATCCCTGTCTTGTTCCCGATGTTAGGTGAAAAGCTTTTAGCTTCTCGCTGTTAAGTATGATGTTTGCTGTGGGTTTGTCATATATGGCCTTTATTATGTTGAGGTACTTGCCCTCTATCCCCATTTTATTGAGAGTTTTTATCATGAATGGATGTTGAATTTTGTCAAATGCTTTTTCAGCATCTATGGAGATGATCATGTGGGTTTTGTCCTTCTTTTTGTTGATGTGGTATATGATGCTGATGGATTTTCGAATATTGTACCATCCTTGCATCCCTGAAATAAATCCTACTTGATCATCATGGATGATCTTTTTAATGTATTTTTGAGTTCGGTTTGCTAATATTTTGTTGAGTATTTTTGCATCCTTGTTCATTGGGGATAATGGTCTGTAATTTTCTTTTTTTGTGGTGTCTTTGCTGGTTTTGGTGTTAGAGTGATGCTGGCTTCATAAAATGAGTTTGGAAGTATTCCCTTCTCTTCTGCATTTTGAAATACTTTAAGGAGGATGGGTATTAGGTCTTCACTAAATGTTTGGTAAAATTCAGGGTGAAGCCACTTGCTCCAGGGGTTTTGTTCTTAGGTAGTTTTGTGATTACCAATTCAATTTCCTTGCTGGTAGTTGGTCTGTTCAGATTTTCTCTATCTTCCTGGGTCAACTTTGGAAGATTGTATTTTTCTAGAAAGTTGTCCTTCTCTTCTAGATTATACAGTTTGTTAGCATATAATTTTTTATAGTATTCTCTAATTATTCCTTATATTTCTGTGGTGTCCATAGTGATTTTTCTGTTCTCATTTCTGATTCTATTTATGTGTGTCAACTCTTTTTCTTGATAAGTCTGGCTAGGGGTTTATCTATTTTGTTAATTTTTTCAAAGAACCAGTTCCTACTTTCATTGATTCTGTTGTTTTATTCTTCTTAATTTTATTTATTTCTGCTCTGATCTTTATTATTTCCCTCCTTGTACTGATTTTGGGCCTCATTTGTTTTTCTTTTTCTAGTTTCATTAATTGTGAGTTTACACTGTTCATATGGGACTGTTCTTCTTTCCTGAGGTAAGCCTGTATTGCAGTATTCTTCCCTCTTTAGCACAGCCTTTGCTGTATCCCAGAGATTTTGTGGTATGAAGTTATTATTTTCATTTGTCTGCATATACTGCTCAATCTCTGTTTTTCTTTGGTCATTGATCCTTTGATTATTTAGGAGCATGTTTTTAGGCCTCCACGTATTTGTGGGCTTTTTTGTTTTCTTTGCATAATTTATTTCTAGTTTCATACCTTTGTGGTCTGAGAAGCTGGTTGGTACAATTTCAGTCCTTCTGAATTTACTGAGGCTCTTTTTCTGGCCTAGTCTGTGGTCTATTTTGGAAAATGTTCCATGTGCACTTGAGAAAAAATGTGTATCCTGCTGCTTTTGGGTGGAGTGTTCTGTAGATGTCTATTAGGTCCAACTGTTCTAATGTGTCGGTGCCTTTGTCTCCTTATTTTCTGTCTGGTTGATCTGTCCTTTCGAGTGAATGGTGTGTTGAAGTCTCCTAAAATGAATGCATTGCGTTCTATTTCCCCCTTTCATCTGTTAGTATTTGTTTCACATATGTAGGTGTTACTATGTTGGGTGCTTAGATATTTATGATGATTAAATCCTCTGTTGGACTGAACCCTTTATCATTATGTAACGTCCTCCTTTGTCTCTTGTGACTTTTTTTGAAGTCTATTTTGTCTTATACAAGTACTGTTAACTCCTGCTTTTTTCTCTGTTAGTTGCATGAAGTCT